CCTGCCCCCTGCCCTCTATTGGAAGCCCTGATTCTGCTCCCTTGGAAAAGGTCCCCTGCCGATCACCCTCTGGAGCCCCATCACTGCCCTCTGGAGAGTCTTCCTTGTTTATCTTCCGCGGCCGCAATGAGGTAGGCGTTGGAGAGCATATTCGTTACTTTCGGCTGGTTCAGAATTAGATGTCCAGTGTGCTTTAGCAGTTGAATAATCACAGCCTTTTGCAGGCTAGACTTGTGGGAATTTTTTTGGTAAAAAAAAAAAATTCTCAACAATTTAGTAGACTTCTAATCAGTTTGTTACTGGTCAGCTTCATAGGCCAGTAACCACAACCAAAATACTACTTGTCTAGACATAATTTTTTGCATGAAGATTCTGGTTTCTATTGGTATAGTTCAGCTCATTCCCATCGCTCAGCTTAATGGTGGCTATGAAATCAGCTAAAGCAATGGGCCCGCTGGAGAAGGCAAAATCTTAAATCCAGCTCTTTAAGCATCCTTGGTATAATATGGGGCATATATACTGTTAAGATTGTAGTTTCTAAAATACTGCTTAACACTGCTTTGGTTGGGGGATAGAAGTCGTGGCTTTTGAAACCTGGGGAGGCCCTAATTCATTAGATGTCCAGTTCCCTTTGATTGCAGGTTGTAGGCAGAGCAGGCGTCTCGGCAGAGCTGCAGCCCTTTCCGCCTCTGCTGCAGGTGTGGCCAGCGCTAGCTCAAGCCGTGAGCATCTGATGCGGTCAACAGGTACCAGTACTCTGATTTTTCCTAATCATTTCCCAAGTACTACATTCTTAGTTTGTGAGTGGTCTGCCTTCCAAGTTATCATAGGTAACAGTTTTATTAAATGTTTTCTTTAAGACATAAGAAGAGTTGCTACCTTTCTAGCTCTTAGGAAAGAATTCCGACCTCTTTCATTGAGCCAGTGTCACATATTTTAGGGTCTGTATGTGAAACAGCCCATTTTGTACACAGAATTTGGTATTAGATTGGACTCTGAGTGGCAGAAAATCTCAAATAATAGTGGGCTAAAAATAGTTTTCTCTTTGTTGTAAACGTCCTGAAGTAGTTAGTACAAGGCTGGTTTGGCACTCCGCAGCGTCAGGGATCCAAGGTCCTTCTATCTTGTTCCGTGGCGAGTGCGCCTCTGTTCCCAAGGTTACCTCACAGGCCAAGCTGGCTACTGTCAAAGAATGAGAAATAGGTTGGCGGTGGCGATTGTCTGTGTTGTGCCCTTTGTCACACTGTGCCTGTCTTAAAACAGAAATATTTATTATTTGCTTGTTGATCTGAAATTCCATTGTGATAATTCTAACCTCTGAGTTTTGTTTTGCTTTTTTTTAACTACAGAATAGCTATACTTTTCTCAAGCATAACCTTGAAATTTTCAAAATAAAGTGAACTTTTGTGTATCTGTGAAGGACTGGATTACAAAAGCAAGTGAACCATAATAATGATGGCAAAACTGGAGTTTCGCAACCTGCCACTTTTCTCTGTAGTGACATTTGTAATTCCCTACATACTGACATTTTTGCTAATGTAATACCATTATTTTATTATTTAAAAAAAATTGAAGTCTGAGTCATTTGTGATTGGAGATCAAGATCAATGGCCCAATTCAATTTATACAGAAAGGTAACTCTACTTTTTTTCTTTTTTTTGGAAATCAATTAGTCTGATGGTATTTATTTATGGTATATTTTATTTTATTTGTTCCACCACCATAGATCTCCACTATACCCCCGCCCACCTCCACCCACACCCCCATCCCCTGCAATCACCGTACTGTTTTATGTGTCCATGAGTTCTTTCTCTCTCTCTTTTTTTTTTCCTTTTTTTCTCAATCCTTCTACTTTAGACAGGTATGAATTTATGTGAGTCTCCGTGAGCAACCATAGTGTGGTATTGCAAAGTGTCTGTTGTGAAATTAATATTCACACCAGTTTAAAGATTTTTCTAGACAGGTGGAATATAAAAATAAATAGTTTTAAAAGTGATGTAGCTAACTCTGCTTCAGAGTGTTCATTTATAGATGATAAAATAGAAGAAAATGAAAATGAACTTTAATTCTTTTAAAATATTAATAAAACAAAACAATCATTATCAATCAAAACAGTGTAGTCCCTGAAAAAAAGTTGTCCCAAAGTTCATCTCAAAGTTATCAAATAATAAATATACTTAATTGAAAATGAGGGCCAGAGGAAATTATTTGGAGTTATTACATGAAATTATTTCTCAGCAGTCCTCCACCTAATATATAGTCAGAATACTTTTTAGCAGGTGGAAGAAATTGCACAAAATTTTGCTTAAGGATTAATCATGACAAATTTGATGACCTTGTTTTTATACTGCATTTAATTAAAAGTGTAGTTTCATTTCCAGCTTTTTATGATTAATTCAATTATTTTAATTCAAACAGTGCTTAATACATTTTTGAATATTTTAAGTAATTTCATTTATGGGTAATTTTTATCAGAATGGTAATAAGTGGTTAACATTTATATTTTTATTTGATGTTTTATAATATATTTATAAACTTTTATATTTTAAATGTGTTAAAGGTTTTGTTTCACTGATTTTTTCATTTTGATACCGGTATTTTAGCATTACATGACATAAACAGTGGATTACCAGTGGTATTTTCACATTGTTCCAGAACAGAAATCATTAAACCATAACAGAGAAAGCATAGTTTTTGTTGGGCCTGACAGTATTTACAAGGATATAAAGCTATTCCAAAGAAACCAAACTATGCAGAGCATGTTTTCAACCTTTGCATACCTGAGAGCTATAAGTGATGTCCTTTGAGCTACCTCATTGTTTTGTGTACTCACAAATTTAAATCTACTCTTGCCCCACCCTGTATATATTTTTCCATTTAGAGACATTCAAGACATTAGTTGCTTTCTCCTCCATTACCGTAGAGACCTACACAGTGCTATTGGAAAGCAACCTCAGATGGTATTTCAGTAATTCCTCTGAGGTCTTTTCATCACGGCCTTAACCACCACAGAAAAGGTGTTTGATCTGGAGAAAGTGCTCAGGGGAGGGCACACCTGCCTCAGGGCTCCCCTGGTCCTCACTGAAGTGGCCTCCTTTATTGCCTTACCAAAGATCTCTCCACAGCAAGGAAGGGGGAAGGAAATGAAGGCCACGAAGGAGAAGGTGTCCTGTTTCTCAACGAGCTCATTCCCAAGGTTTAGCCTTTTAACATGACAGGCCCATTCTGCTCGTTAAAGTTTTCAGGTGAGCAAATTCTAGCAGTCATTTCAAAACTCTGTATCCTTGGCCCTGGGGGCTTTGCCTTGTATGTGTATGTGTATATATAATATATGTATATGTGTATGTGTATGTGTATGTGTATGTGTATGTGTATGTATATGTATATGTATATGTATATGTATATGTATATGTATATGTATATGTATATGTGTATATATATATTTTTGAATCCTCACCCGAGGATATTTTTTCCATTGCTTTTCAGAAAGAGTGGAAGGGAGAGAGAGAGAGAGAAACATCGATGTGGGAGAGACACGTCGGTTGGTTGCCCCCTGCACGAGCCCCAATCGGGGCTGGGGGTCAAGCCTGCAACCGAGGTACGTGCCCGTGGTGGGAATCGAACCCAGGACCCTTCAGTCCTCAGGCTGATGCTCTAACCAAACTGGCCAGGACTGTATTCTCACTCTTAGTCTTATCATGGTACACACATGAGCCTTGTAACATTTTTTGGCCCCTTTAGTATCCAACATCTTAATATTTTGTTACAGAAAAAAACAACACTCAGAAACACGATGGTGCCATCCTTTGGCTGCTGCTTTGCTCTCTTCATTCTTTCCTTCTTACCCTAACCCTCCCTTTGTCCCTTCCTTCTACTCTTCTTTTTAAAATGCTTCCTTAGGAAGCAAGTCTAAAGGTTTTGTTTCCTTTTGAAATAGTGAAATTAAAAACACACACACAGAACCCCACAACTTTCAGTTTAGAAAGACCAAGCTTGTGGGCTCGGCTCCGTCACCACCAAGCTGCTATGTCAGCAGAAGCCCTTTGTTCACCACAGGAAGCAATCCGGTCACAACAACTTCCTTTTCAGCCCTTCAATGGAGCTATTGTCTCTGAGGCTTATCAGATGGACCCGCTACCAGAAATCCCCATTGGCAGCAACAAAGAAACGATCTTTTTTATCATCACCACACCAAACTTCTTTCCAAGTGGCTACATTCTGTGTTATTCACGGCCTCTGTTTATCACATTAGCTTGCATCGCTCAGTAATTTTGATGATTTGAAACTGGAGAGACTGCAAGCAGGCGATGCTTTGATTCTCTGAGTTAAAACTACATTTATGACTTGAAGCAGTTTACGAGAGAGACAGAGAGGGAGAGATGACTATTTAGATGTTGGCGGCTTCCTAGGCTGCGGCATCTTCAGCAAGAGCAGTTGGTAGGCAGTTAGCCATGATGCAGTCTGGAGTGTCAGCCTCGCCTGCACTCAGCAGTTTCTCTTAACATTTTTTTTTTTTAACTGTAAACCATTTAAATGCCTTCTTGTTTTTAATTTAAGGTATCTTTATCTTTTCTGCGTTACCTCCTGCGTTACCCTTACTTCATATTAGAAAATTGTTTTCTGCTCAGGGATTATACTGGTAGCACCAGAAAGGCAACACATGACCTCTTGGGTTATTTAGGAATGACTTAATCTCTCACGGAAAAAACCCTCCTCAGGCATTCTTTGGGGGAGATAACCTTCTTATTAGCATTCCTCAATTCCTCCCACATTCCCCGTTCTCTTCCCTCCCCATCAGCAACGTTGAATTTGCCAAGGAGATACATCACCATTTCTCCCTCTTTGCTTTTCTCCAGTCTTAGTTTAAAGGATGTTTCTACCCTTGAAGCCTCCTCGCTGCTAGTTACGGGGTTTCTTTCGCGGGAAGGACGGCGTCTTCTGGTGTTTTCCGTTCGCCTTTCCCTTCTTCACTTAGTGACTCACTCCATCTCTTCAGATCCCATCTTGAAACATTCCTGGGCCTGTTTTCTTTGGACTGAGCCCGACTCCCACACAGTCTAATTCCCTTTACACTCCCCTTAATGTACTTAACTTGCCGAGGTTGCAAGTGTCCTTAATTATATCTTTTCTACATTCAAATTTTCATTCCTCTCTTTTTAAGTGTTTAAAAAATTCAAGTTTTTCTTGGAAAAGGTTCCCCAGCCCATTTCCATTTCTATTTTCTTCTCTTAGGTTAGAAATTAAGATGAACAGAAAAAAAGGGCAGTGGGTGTTTACAGAGTTAAAGTGTTTAGGGCTTACATTTTCCTTAGAACCCTGTGAGTTAGTTGTCCCCCGAGACATGACTGAGAATCTCAGGTCATGCATCACTCTGGTGAATGGGGAGTTTGTCCCCAATAAGCCAAAGAGGACGTTTAGACATTATATATGGGAGAGGAAGAAAATTCCCAGAGGAAGATGCAAGGCGTGGATGTAAGTATAGAAGAAGGGAAGAAAGGCTGAGAAATTAGTTTGGTGAAGTCATGGTTCGTTTAGAACAGATGTAGGAGTTGTGAGTTCGGTCTTTGTTCTTACAGCTCCAGTCCCTGCTGCACCACTCTGTGGGCACCTACTTCATCTGGGCTCCATCTAGGTGCCCACCCAAGAAAGACCACCGCTAACTGAGGCTGTGGAGCCACAATTGCAGCACACCCCTCTGGGTTTCCTTGGCTTTGCGATTTCCCGGACCGAGGCAGCAGCAGTGAAC